TTAGATATAAAACAATTGTTCCGTATGAAGATGGATAAAACCTTAGCGTTTCTTTTGACTTTAGTTTCTAGTCGCCTACTATAACAGCAAAGCAGTTTTAAAGCGCTAACTTAAATTAATCCGAACCTCAATTATAATTTCCAAAGATTTTCCTTATTTTAAACGTATCCTCTGAAGTGACTTGGCTATCGAGCCACTGGGAATATCAAGGAAAACATTGAGACACTCCTGCATCATATCCTTCTGCTGCCAATATGCAGATTCATGTGTTAACGCTATATTATGTATATATAATATAAGTACATGTACACGTATACGCTTGTGGGAAAATAGCATGCATAGAGAGGTTATAAAATTGAAAAGTTACCATTTAAAATTAAGTATTGGCACACTGAAAAGAACCTCAATCTACCAACATCGATTTTATACGCTGTTTCACGAGACACACATTTTATAATTTTGGCTTTATTTCAAGAATATGAGGAGTGATTTTTTTTTTTACTTTTTTCCATTAACAAAAAAAATGCAAATTAGAATTGCATAAAGAATTAAATTGATAAGTTGCTTTATTTATTAATCCTTAAAAAACCTGAGCCAGGTCAAGAAAATTGTGTTTTTCCTAAAACTTTTCCGCAGGAGTAATTTTAAAGAAAAAAAGAATAGTGAAGACATCCGAGAAAATACTCATAATGATTCTTTACTATTTTTATTCCAATGCCTGCAGCACTGAGCTACAATGTACTTAAATCAGAGACATTAATTTATGTTTCTGCTTAAATTGTGCTTTTAGGTAAAATTTCTTTTTATTTTTTTTGAATAAGTTCTGTTTTATTTTTCATATACGGCAGTAAGTACATATAAAAGTTAAGTTTTTGCCATTATATATATGCATTTAACGTGAATGTTTTCACTGTTTTCTTTCGTCAGTAAATCTTGGATCCACGCCTTGGCTTATACATTCAATATGCCATGTTTTGTGTATTTTGATCCCCGCGCGCTGACCATCGTTTCTGCTTCTGCCAAGTATTGCCCACAATCAACAAGCTGATTATTATGGCAAATTTAGTGCGCATGATATGACCAAAAATTAAAACTTTAAAAGGTTAATATTAATAATATTTCTTACTTATGGTTAGAAGATGATCACCTGAGACCTAAAGGTGTCAGGTGTATTTGCCGAGACTATCATTCCACTCTTTGATGGTCCAAGGGAAATAGGAAAACTTTTTACGCAATAACCTAGATACAATGTTTATGTGTATTTTGAAGACCACCACCCCAGCAATCCAACCTCTATTATCCTAATGAACCCTGTGTAGTTTTACTTTAAGATGGACCATTTTGTAATAATAAGGCAGAACGCTCAATTTTGTTTACATCTCTATATTTAGAAATCGTGTCATCGTCAGGTCATTTGCCAGACCACCAGCTTATCGATGGCAGCTCACACTAGGACTTCACTTCCGGAAAACGAACTTAATGTGTCATCTCCCGAGGGAGATGACAATAAGGATGACAATCAAGCTCCTTCTGTTCCTTGTCAAGGTTGTATAATTATATTAATAAATGGACACCATTCGGAAAATAAAAGTTGCGAACGTTAATAATGTCCACATACGTGCACATGCATATATAAAATAATATAATATATTACAATCTAATATTATATTATATTATATTATATTATATTATATTATATTATATTATATTATATTATATTATATTATATTATATTATTTATTATATGGACAAATGTTGGCGATGATTAACAACTGTATTTTCTTTATAGTAGTTGTGCAAGCAGGTTGACTGCTTTAAGTCCATGAGTAAAGAAGGGGATTTTTGAAGATTGCATTAACTTTCCTCGTTTTAGAGACATCCCTTGAGCCTCAAGATGGCAGATACCATTAACGTCATAAGTTTTGTTCATCTTTGCCCATAAATGCTTTATATCAAAATTGGTTAAATTGTGTGTGTGCTGAAGTTTAGGAGAAGCTTAAGTTAAATAATGTTTACGACTGACGGAAGACTGACGACGGAAAAATACATAGAAATAGGTCACCTGAGTGACTCAGGTGGCCTAGTCAATCAAGTGACCTAAAAGCCACCAAGATGTAAGGAGTGTAAATTAAATCAATACATTCATAACTTCAAACATAAAAGGAAAATGTTAATAATTCTTGTGAGTTCGATTCATCGCGAACATTTTCATGTTTACCTGTAAGTATGTTAATCTTGTACATGTATTGACTTTGTCAGATATATTTAAAAGTATCTAATATTTGAAAACAAAACATAAAATTTGATTATATACAGCTATACTACACATTTGTATGCCAAATTTTATAGTTAGCTCTCAGATCTCAGACTGGCTGAAATCCAGCAATGTAGAAAAATACTAGGTTATGTTAACCTGCACTTGACCTTCCAAGTGATTACAAGGATTTATTTTTTTTTCTACATTTGACAAAAAATAGATTGAGATCTTCCAAATTGATACAATAGTTCTGAAAAGTTATTTACCTGAACCCAACTTCCACTCAAGTGAACACAACATTAACACATAACATAGAAAATTGGAAATGGGGTGGGGTTCCCCTGCCCCAAATCTTCTGAACGCAAATTTTACTATGATTTTAGTTTGAAAATGTTCATTAAAAGTCTGGTACCTCCGAACAAACACACTTTCTGATAAAGTATGCTAAAATAATCCCTTCTACATTAATGAACCAGGTTAACATAATATCAAGCTCATTGAATAGGGGTGTGGGAGATCCCCCCCCCCCCACTTCAATGTAATTGTTTACTTTTAATTTAGTCTGAAAATTTTCATTGAAAGTCTGATAGCCCCCTGTCCCACGTTCTGATACGGTATATTAAAAAAAATTCCCCTAAATTAATGGATTCTAAACCACCCACCATCCCCCGAAATAAGATAATTATGAATTTTCGAGAATTTTCCTCTTCCGGAGGGGGGGGGGGGTCGTCAAAGATTTCTGTCAGGTAAGTTGTCTTTTTTCTTATAATTCCCCTTTTTTTCAAAAGCGATGTTAGGTGCCTAACATTTCTTTTTCTTTCTAAACCGGAAAAAAATAGATCGAAAATTTCCAAATTACTTCAACTGGATAATATGATTATTATTACCCGCATCATTCACTGGCATTATCTTAAGCATATGCAAACATTTTAAACATGACGGCATGTTTGCTTAATGAGTTTGTAACACAGGATGAAACACTGCCATTCAGTTTACAGTAAGGTGACTGAAGAATTGCTGAAAGGTGACTGAATGGGAGAGCTCTGCCATTCAGTCACATTTCCAGACCTTTCAGTATCCATTCAGTTGACTGAATGGTGCAGTTTCATCTTGTGTATCATGTAATCCTTGAGTCATACAATAAAACAATTATTGTTGATTTTGAAGTTAATACGGTGATTTAGCCACCTGAGGAGTACAATAATCACCTCGCCCTTCGGACAATTGTTATCACAATGATGTGCAAAAAGTTATAGTAAGAATATCATGTATGCCTCTATTTAAGTAAATATTTAAAATTGTATATTGACATTTCCTTTTACATGTAGATATGTATGAATATTATTTAAGTGTTTGATGGCAATAATACGTAAACATACTTCAGAAGTGTACAAGATAACGCAGTTGATAGCAAAAATCGTATAAAATCGTATGTCCTTTAACAAGGAATTTATGAACAGAATTACAATACACAATTATTTTAATTCATTTATAGCCAATCTGTTTTATATACAAAATGCAATGAAATATCGTTGTTATGATACGCTTGAACATGTATAATTTCAACACTGTTAGCAGTGTAATGAATCTGACAAGACTAATTTTAAAACCAAATATATACATTTGTGGTATCTCTCTATTGTATAAACATACAGAGAGCAAATATCTTCATACCTGTATGAAGTTTTTCGAAGGTCATAGGTCATTACGTGACCTAATCACACAGCGCAGTAATATCTACGTAAAAAGACTTACTCTACTTAGCAATATAGCATGTTTTTCATGCATAAAAATGTACAAAATACCCAAGTAAAATAATAACCATTTTATTTACAATGTAAACGAGTAATTGATACAGTTCTTGATCGATTTTACATAGAGAATAGAAAACTACGTGTTGTAAATTTCATGTCTGAGCTGCATAGTCTCAACGTTTACCCTTATTTTTCTTGTAGACCTCTGAATGCTATATTCTTTTTCATTAAACTTTATAATTACTCACAATAAATTTGAAAATCTGTTGGAAAATATCAATGTAATGCAATCACGCCACAAACAGCTGACAAACACTGCACTTCGGAAGTTCGGTAGGCACACCTCCATCATCGAGATCGTACGTTGTCTTAACAATGTAAGCTGACGCCTGTGTCTCCGTGTCATCATCATAATAAATATGCCTTATTGAAATCGTAGATTTTATGTTTCTGATCAAATTTTAAACTTGATTCCAAGTTAACTGGTCCGGACAAGTGTCTCCATCCATCCCTTTCCGACCGAAATTCCTCCAACTTTTTATTATCAAACATCGGACGTGTTTCTTGTGTTTTTTTTTTAACATCGAATATGGGTTCTCACGAATACCAAAATTCCCAGACACCAATATGCTCACTATAATTGAAGTAGCCTTTCACAGAATATTCCCTTCAAAACAGAATCCTTAGACCTTTGCCAGATGAATTTGAAGCGTAACCGCTTTTCAAGCCGATTTACACCTTGCGTAATTTGTCAAAATCTACGACGAACAGTTAGTGCAATATTTATATTCGATTATATTCGATTGTCCGTCTCAAATATATATATAAGTAATAAATAACAAGTTTAAAAACTTCACTGGGAATGAAGTGGGTCGGTACGTGATCAAATCTTCTGAGAAGGCCTTCGGCCTTCACAGGATTTGATCACGTGACCGACCCACTTCATTTCCCAGAGAAGTTTTTAAACTTGTTATTTATTTCTTAATTAAGTAACAATATCCGCGGTCTTGAAAGGTAAACACCCACTTTCGTGAAGTTTTTCTATGATCCCGCTGATTTTAAAGTACAAAGAGTCACAGGAAAACTTTTATTCATAGCTCCAGCCCCTATTTTAAAATTTCAATACATAAATATTTATGTACATCGAAATAATATCGTATGAAATCATATTTACCCTCCAGAATTTTTTCTCTCTCGAGCACAGTAATTTTTTTTCCTCACCATCTGTTCTTCCAAAGTCAATTTGGTACTAAAATACTGAAGTAATGTTTATGATCTTCTGTAAGTCCTCTCAGATTTTTCAAGGGAATTTTGTACGTAAGCATTTTTACAGTACTTCTCAGCTAAAGGATCAAATATGGGTTTTCTTAAAAATTTCAAGCTTATCATGTATGTTGTATTATTAAATATAAATACTCTCATGAATTACACACACTTCAAAAACATATACACAATGATTGTCCCCCAAAGAAAAAAACGCATAAAACATCAAATGAATGTTTCGTTTACTCCATTGAGGCTGTCCTCCTCTTCGCTAGATCTGCCGGAGGATAATTCCTCATAAAGATCAAGTTCCTCAGAGAATTCTGCTGAAGAAGACTCCTCTGGAATGATACAAGATTTCTCCCCTTTCCTAGATTTAACAGAATTTCTCACATTTTTACCCGCCAAAAGTTGAGTTCCTTCTGACGGCAATGAAGATTCCTCTTTTAGTATCGTCTCTACTGCTTCCTCTGACGGCTGATAGGATGTGAACTCTGATGTTGTTTGACTTTCAAATGCTGAATTTAGAAATCCCGTGGAGGACGAGGATTGCACGTGTCCACGTGATCTCCTGTCAGGAGTTAATGTCTCTACTCCTGAGGCTGTCCGTGTAACGACTTGATCTACAAATCAAGCAGTCTTAAAATAACCAATGACAGAAATTTTGATAATAAAATTTGAACTGCTTTCTCAGACTAATTGTTTATATTAATATATATATATATATATTTCAAATCAGTCGAATTTCTTTATGATATTTCATGGTGTTATCAAACGCATTCAGCTCCTTGATTTTCTCTCTCTCTCTCTTTAAAGCAATTTCTTTAGGCATACTTTTTTTTTTACGAAGAATGCACTGCTTCACACAATGGAAGATATCAGCTTAACATAGTAAGTGCTTTGACTTCGATGTGATTTATGATCAATTTTTCTGCTTCTCTAAATAATAAATGCACGCAAAAGAATAATATGATCATGATTACCAGATTTACGTAAAAGCTTTACCAGTTATTGGTGCCATTTGTTTGATGTTGCAGAGAGCCATGAACAAACGTCGATAGCGTCGACGGAAGTTAACATCACAGAGTCCATAAATGATTGGGTTCACCAAACCGGACACGGAAGTACTGAGTAAGGCGTATAAAATCGATACATCACTAACATTAACTCCAACTTCTCTCATAAGCACAAGTAGCTACAAAGGAAAAACGATAAAACAAGGACACGCATCTCAATTTATGATTCAAACAATACTGATACAAATGCACATATTAAAGGGAAAAAAGTAACATTTTTGAATCTTTAGACAATGATATTTTAAATCTAGCAATGATTGAAATCTTTAAAGTATTTAATCTAATCTTGATATATGATAATATTTGATAGTATGTCGTCTTTTTTTCAAAGGAGAATGTAGAGAATTCATAAATGGAAAAGTGATTTTAAACAAATATTTAATATATCAATCTTATTTTACCATAGTGGGTACCCAGGTTATGATAACGGGGATGGACACTGCCAACACTAAATTACTCCCAGTTAGAACACGCGTTCCAACCGTCTGCCACTGATATCCACCTTCTTCATTGACACTGGTCGAGATACACATTTTCCTTTTGATAAGGTTCTTGCAGCACAGAGAAATAAGACTGGACATTAAAATAAGGAGAATGTTACAGGTTGCAAAACACAGGAATAAAATAAGGAATGCATATTCATTAACATTTTCAAGTTTCTGAATGAGCCAAAACTCACAGCGCTCACTTTGGTAAGTTACTGGTCCAAGACCAACTAGAGGCATAAAAGCTATGACCATGCACCCAATAATATTTAAAAGAATGATGCAGATAACTTTAGTTTTTGCACTCAGTAAATATGTGTATTCTTTCATATTAAGAAAATGAAAAATATATATTGTCTGATTCAAGCTTAGTATTGCCACAGTGCAGAGGGTGGAAGTTCGCAATGTGTGCATGAGAAATTGATATAATTTACATGTTATTTCACCCCCTATCCAAGTATTTTTGAAGTAACTGACATGAGCTATTGGAGTTGGAATTAGAGCTGAAAAAATGTACAGTAAACTCAACACTAAAATTATATCCTCTGTCGTGGATCGCGTTCGATATGTTTTTCCACGAATAACAACAACCAAAGGCAAGATATTCACAAAGATTGTGGCGGTTTCTACAAATATCGAAAATATTCCACCGATGTCCTGTGCTGTGGCTTCACTAGTCATATTTTCTCTACTGATCGTCATTGTTGATATTTATCCTGCAAAAAAAGATGTCAAGAATAGGTGAATGGTTTACAATATGGAACACGATCCCAGTTCTAATATTTTTAGAAGTATGTGTTTGCTATATTTGAATATAAATATTTGTATTGATTCAATGGACTCTTGAGCTTGACTGGGTACTATTCGTAATCTCTTTATTTCTTTGCAAAAAATATATTGTCCTCTACATGCATCGTAGTCTATATCTATATAAACTACCAAATTATTTCACTTTGCTGCAACAAAATGAAGTGAAATATAAAGTAAAGGGTCAAAATAATTTTAATCGTAAAGTAATAACAGTGTTGTTTCGAATTTACTGTTCTGTTAGTTATACACTAAATTCTACAGTTCTAATTTACAAAAGTAAGGTTGTCAATTACACTGTATCTGAGAAAGTGTTCAGGAAATATTCCCTACCTGTTTTATTTGTGATATTTTTCAATGTTTTCTTTTATTGATGAGTCAGAATAATTGTATTTAAATAGAAGCTTGTATTAATATATTACATAATATTACTTTCTTATATGTCTAAAGTACATATGAATAGAGAATATGACTTACTAAATTTATTCGACATCAAATATCAAATCAGCCAAAGTGGCCCCATATCAGCCCGAGGGCTGAAGGCCCGATGTCTGAAATGGGGTCGGGGCTTAATAAGACATATGATATGGATTAAGTTCGTTATTTCCGATTTTTAGTATAGTTAAAATATTTAATATGCATAATATCATTTGGAAAGTTTCGTGTATATATATGACCTTTTTTCTTTAGAATTTAATGGATCCAATTGAAGGTCAGTATAAACAAAATAAGTCAAAAACTCTCATTACTAGTGCGTTGATAGTATTACAAGTATATTTCAAAAGAAAAATCAAGTGAATTTAATTTTAAAGTTCATAAAAAGTTATTTCTGGTTTGATATTGTTTAACTTGTTTTCTAACCTGTCGTAGATTTGGGGCATTGTGTTACCCGTATCGCACTGTGCGGTATCAGTGTATTTGATAAGTCTGATAACTAATCAACAATGTTTCATCAAGTAAGGAATCGATACTATGTATCGAAGCTTTATTCTCATTATTTACATGGAGAATCAACAAAAATTAGCTCTATTTCATTACGCTTTAATCTTTGCATGATCTTTGCAATATATATATATATATATATATATATATATATATATATATATATATATATATATATATATATATATATATATATATATATTGCAAAGATCATGAAAAGAATAAAACGTAATGAAATAGAGCCAATTTTTGTTGATTCTCCATGTAAATAATGATATATAAACAATGAATCGAAATGTTACGAATATCACTTAGATCTATAAAAATCTAAAGTTTTAATTTCGAACAATATCGATATGATATATTACATGTACAAGTAATGTGAGAACAATTTTATGCGCAATCTTGAACTCTTATTATTTGCTCTATGTGATCTAGCCAATAAATCCATGATTCTCATGATTCTCCAATGAAATATGGAGAAAACGAACATTATTCAAGCTCAAAGTCCATTAAAACAATACCAATTTGAAATTTAACCTTTACAGACTGTATTCGTATTTTTTTACCTAGGTTCTACACAAAATCAACTTTCACTTCTAATGCCAAGTGTTAATCGAAGATCAATATTGATGAAAGAGTCATTCTAAAGAACGAATAACAGCGTATCTATTTATATCGAACGTTTGCTTTATACCTGTATCATTGTAATTTTCACCCATTAAGCAAACGGACGTACATGACTGGATTGCAGGAAAGGTTTAGTTAAATAGAAAGGAAATCTATCAAGATGACAATATAATCCTTTTTTTCCCAAGGCACCTCGAACCCTTTGCTCTACCACATATTTACATATTTAATGTAAAGGTCAATATCTAGAAAATGAAAGATGGAAGCGGGTTAATCAAATTTGAGAAATAATTTCTTTTCTTCAGACGTACTGTGTTACAGCATATTCTAGAAGTGGTGTTAATCAGATTTGGATTCTCCAAAACTTGAAAGAGTTTTTAGAAAATTTTGAAAAGTCAGTATCATCAAAAAGGACGAGTTTTCTACACTTCATACGACTATTCTTCACAATCACTTAAATTCTTCAAGATAAATTACAAAATAGGCTTTTTGATATCATATTCAACTGCTTCTTCAGTAAAAAAGTAATTCGAATTTTTTTGTATCTTGTGATTGGTCATTAACAAAATTACTTTGTTAAAAATAAATCTAACTCTACACACAATTAGTTCTCTGAAGTTGATATTAAAAGGATGCTGGAGTTCCTCATTGACAACATTTATGTGGTTTTTTGAGACCAGGTCTTCCAACAAAGTGTTGGAATTTCAATGGACTCTAATTGTGGTCCTTTATTAGCCGACCTGTTTTTATATTCCTACGAAGTAGAATTTATTTAAAAACTTTTACATGAGAAGCAAAAAACACTTGCTGTGGCCCTCAACTCGACATTTAGATTTATCGACGATGTCTTATCAGTTACCAAAAGTTACTTCCATGCATATGTCGACTCTATATATCCAGGTAAACCTGAAATAAAAGACACCACAGAGGCTGCTATTCATGCTGATGTTTTACGGAGTATAGACCATAAATGTCAATAGTATGACAAACGAGACGACTTCACTTTTCCATCGTCAACTTTCATCTGCATATGGTTTTACACCTTCCAACTTATTCCATACTCTAGAGCATGTCTGAATACGATAACTTTTTAAACCGATGCAGGCTACTCACACAGAAGTTGATGTTACAGGGATTTCAATCACCTCGGTCAAAGTCAGCATTTCGTAAATTCTATAGTCCTTATAATGACCTTGTTAGCAAATATAATCTAACATTGGGTCGTATTTTTGCTGACGTGTTTCATACCAATTGTTCGGGCTTTGTTTTATACTAAATTTGATTGATCAATAAATAGGGCTCACTCGGGTGTGACCGGTCAACAGGGGATGTTTAATCCCCCTAAACACCTGATCCCACCTTTGGAATATCCAGGGGTCCATGATCTGGGGAGATAAAATTTAATTAAACTCAACGAAACCAAAACCTGTTTTATAAATAGGAATTGTTTCCCATATCAGACAAATGAAATGAATCCAATGTGACTGAAGTAACACGTAAAAAAGTATTTTAAATGTTCTTGGCCCCTTCTTTAAAGTTATGTTTGATCGAATATAGGTTTCAGAATTACTTTTAACATGATTTTAAATTGGAAAGTAAGTTTAAAGTAATTATCCATGATTTATCTTGCACCAAAGGCAGTATCAACGTTAACTCATTACTATATCTTGACGTATTTTTAAATTGAATCATTTATTACATGTACATATTTCAATTATAGCTGTAAAGTAAAATTAAATTAATTATAACGCTATACTGGAACTAGCACCAAAAAGAAAGTATAAACTCATTACTAGATCTTGAGCTGAAATGTCTTATACAAATACAAAAAAAAATCATTATAAAATAATACATACAAGACAAGGTAAGTATATGGTAAAGATGTTAAGAAAAAAATAATGGTACATGTAACAAGAATTGCAATGTATCAAAGAAGTATAAACAGCCCTCAATTAATTAACAGTTAAAATGCTTTAGTAATGCAGTTATTTTGGTTTACTTGTTTCATAATTAGCCTGACTCTGTTTCAGACCTAGCTTCGTTATGGGTAATTATGGAAGAGTAAGACGATGCTACATAAGAAAGAAGGAAATAAAGATACTTTTTTGTTTGATCTACTTGATTTTCAGCAAAAATATCTTGAATGTACAAGAGCACGGTTACATTAATTTACAGCCATGGTGTAACTAGGTATACAAAATTTTAAACTGATTTATTGTTCTTTATGGACAACATTGAAGAAACAGTTTTTAAACTTTTAAAATCGGGATATTCATACAGATTGGTCATATAGTCAATTGGTAGATTTGACCATGTAGAAAAACCGTATTTATTTTATATCACAAAAATATTTTAAAATGGTACCTTATCACATATATTTATTTTGTGGTTGACTTAAAGCATATATTGCCGCAATATAGCTTTAAACCCTTGGATTGATTTTTTTTTCCATTTTCCAAACACCAAAAATATAAATTGAATATGCTGAATACATCGACCACTTATGACGTCGCTTTGAGATTAAGTCGATTGTTCATAGCTTACAAAAGAACTTGTGGTCATGTGACGAACGTGTTTTTATACAGGATTGAATAAACATTGCTAAAATAGTATTGTATAAGGGAAAACAAAAATTGCAACAACAAAAAAATAAATAAATAAATAAACAAAGAAAGAAAGAAAGAAATAAAGAAATAAAGAAACATACTCTTACGATGTCTATATGAAGAGAAATTATCAGTTTCATATTAATTGATAAAACTATAAATTAAACTCAAATGCTAGTGCTTCTTCACGTTGCTCTTTCTTAAACAGATGCTAATTTATGTACTTAGTAATTTTGCATTGTTACCAACTTGTATATTCAAATTTGACTTAATGATAACTTCTGAATATCACTTACAACCATGACTTGTTACACTGAACCTAAATTAAAATTAAATATTAAGTCATTACTTTTGAAAATGAAATATGAAGATAACAAACAGCAATCGTGTTTAAAAGTCCACTGAAACAATACAAATTTTGAGCACAGCAAATTCGGACCTCTGAAAAACAGAGGTAGGATCAGGTGCCTAGGAGCAGTAAGCATCCCCTGTCGACCGGTCAAACCCGCCTTGTGCTATATGTCATGATAAGATAACCGGAAAAATCAGTATGAAACAAGGACTCCGCAAAGCGGAGCATCCCGTCGAAAATAGCATATTCTATAAATCAATACAGCATTCGATATCAATCCCGAGGCAAATTGCGTCACTTCCGTTTCGCACAAGGACAAACTAACTCACAAATAAACACACAAACACACATACGCACATGCGCTTTATAAAATCTGCTCCAACTCCGTTACGAGGGGATAATAATTAATGGCCTAACAATAAAAATGAAAAAACGTCTGTAAACATTTTACCTAACAACAGATTGTATTCACAAACACAATCATTTTATTGACCATAGAGTTTGCAAAATGTTCCTTTAAACGAGATTATAAATAATCTTCGTTTTTTTTGTTTTTTTTGTTTTTGTTTTTGTTTTTTTGTTGTTTTTTTTTTGTTAGTAGCTTGACTTGTCAGTTTTTTTTTTATTTGTTAGTAACTTGACTTGTTGTCAGTTGCCTTCTCGTTTTAGAAATTGCACTTACAAAAAAATTGCTCTTGTGTATCTAATCAACTATTTTAACCCCATGTATAGATGATAATAGTATATTGCTACATAAATAAGGAAATTAAAGTTGACGATGGAAAAGTTAAAGTCATCAAGTTTATTATATAAAGGTAACGTTAAGTTGTTAGTTTGCCATATATGTCTGTAGAAGTCGAACTGAAAGCCTCAGCAAAGACTTCTTCTAATGGAATAATGTAAACTTTTTAAATAAAGTCTGCTTCATAAGTATACAACAACAGGTGTGCTAAAAATGGGGCAGAATTGACACCAATGGAAAGTCCAAAAGAAAAATATTATAACTTCTTGAGAGATAAGCAATCGAAAATATCGAAGTGTCTTTACTAAATTGTTCCCAAAATGGTTTATTATTCACAATACTTAGAAAGAGAATTTTTTTTATATAACAACGTACATTTAGAACTGACACAAGTTCTCTCAGGATGGAACTTCGTCATTCAGTCAGCTGAATATTCACTAAAAGTTCTGGAAAATTGGCTTTATTGAATGGCAGAGCTCTGCCACTCAGGTACCTCTCAGTTAACTTTCAGTCACCTTTCAGTTAACTGAATGGCAGAGTTTCATGCTGCGTTTTTGTGTCATATCATGAATCTTGATTCCTCAATGCGTTAATAAACGTCATTAGAATACTTTTTTATTGTTATGAAATAATTAGTATCTCAAAGATAAGAACCATCAAATTCGGGGTGTGGTCATATCATAGTCTGAAGTGCGTGGCATATATACCAGTGATAAAAACTAGCAATGTATGTTGATACTCCTGATAAGTTTCGCTTGCTACTACATGTCAGTGTTTCCTCGCGCAGTTCTTTCTTAAATACGTATATGCTGATTTATATACTAAGTAGTATAAAATGGTTCCCGCAATGCTCGCTATTTCTGGAAACGTTAGACTTACGATACATCTACCGAAACGATTTACAAAATATTGACCTCTTGATATTGCGGTAGATTAAGCTATGAAGATACAAGAAATAGATATATTTGCATAGATTTTATCACGAACAATATCTATTACATCGATACTGTTAACACATATGTCGTGAAGATTTACAAATCGATGTTATCCCTCTAGACAGATTTCTTGATAAGTTTTCTTTAGTAAGAAAATTTTTTGAAATTTTTTTTTCAAATATAAAAAAATATTCCTTGTTATATATCAATATTTAATTATTTATGCCTTCCTTTCAGACTTCTCTTAAATTTTGTTTTGTACTTCTATTCATAAAGAAATAGATACAACAAATAAGCTTGTAATTTACACCAGATTTGTCAAACAGAGGGAAATTACAGACAATGATCAATGATTTGCATCAAAGAGGAAAGAGAAATGTATAAACTAATTTAAATACTCAGAAGAGGGAATTGTCCGAAAGATGGAAAAAAATTTTCCCGCAAGAAATCTAAATGGAATCACAGGACTTCATTTATAAAATTGGCTTTCCTGCCCTGAGGATAACTTGCATCTTCGCTTTAGAGGTTTTAATCATTGATGGCTGCGATTTTATGAAGCATGCAAGAGAAGAGATCTCTGGTTATTGGCTTTTTGCTACTTATCAGAATCCCAAAAGCCTATAACAATTTGCTGGAGCGCAAAAATAAAGTTCAGATGACAGTATAGATTTCAGAAATTTTAAGCAGCACGAGAAATCAATAAAACAGGAGGACTTTGAAGTACAGAGATATATTATTTTTTGCACATTCCTTTATCTACGTCTATTCTTTAAGAAAAAATATTATTCGAAAGGATCATATTACTTAAGATCATTAGTCACCGTAAAATAAACAATATGGGATATTAATATTTAAGATAGAAGTATCTACACAATACCTTGAAGCAATTTGCTCTTAATTTATTTATAAAATTGTAAGGCCTTTCTGTTATTAAGTGGGTTGTCTCTTTTTTTTTCGATAATGTCATCATCATAAAAACATAATACCAAGTCTTTTATATTGGTGCATAGCCATTGTTTTCAAATCTGCCAATTTAGCTCTAAAGACAAGATAAGGCAAAGTTGTATAACAGTTTAATAAAGAAAAACTTTATAGTTTTGAAAAATCCTACATGACTTGCTCATGAAACAAGATAATATTTTGCATCTGGAAATCTTTATGAAGTTCAAAATCGAAGTTATTCAGCTGTTTTAAAATACTACTAGATGTAAACAATGGTGTGTCTTTATTGTAAAGAAAAAAATTATGATAGCTTACCCAAAGGTCAATACATTTCATTTACAATTAGAGTCAAAGACCAGAGCTTAGATTAACACCTTGCTAGGGTAGTATTGAAAAATTCAATTTTATACGATTGATTTCAAAAGAATGATTATCAGAGCGCAGGATCTTAAAAAAGAGATAAATTAGCTAGATGTTTCATTATTGAAATTAAATGTCAAAGCCTATAAAAACGCCAACGGTGGCAAATGAAATGATGCATGTAGTTGTTAAATCCAACTTTGTATGGGTTAAATAAGCACAACATGTTTTCCCAAAATAGATGTTTCATTTCCATTCTGAAGTCCAATGTCAAGGACAGTTTGCAGAACCTCACCCTGATTCATATTTGTTTTTAGAATATAACGTCATAAAGAGATTAACCTCAAGGGAAACATGCATCCGCATTTTACTTAAACCAAATCAAGGTCAATATTATTGCAATCAAGGTTTTTGAGCATATCGTCCAAATATGCTTGTCGATGACGTTGAAGTAAAAGAATTTGATCAAGAGAGATAATGTGTTTAATTCACAACCATCTACCTTAGGTCAAGGCAAATGACATTTGAATCATATTACCTTTTCATTTTCGACAGTCAAAGGTAAGGTCAACTTCAATGGTGTTATTTAAACATCTCATCCTGAATTACCTATTTGCAAAGCTATATATTAAATGTTCAGAGTGGCTCACTTTATTGCAATACATTTTTTTAACCAACATCATGTTCAAAAGTCTAGCTCAAGGTCATCTTTTAGTTTTTTTTCCCTTCAATATCATTAACGTATATTCAGTTTAAATTATAAGAAAACAGTCATTTGGATGGTTCATCCTATTCAAAGACATATATTTTTCATTTCTTCTTCTTCTTCTTCCGGTAAGGAGTTGACCTCTAATACACGGTTAAAACCAAAGGATAAAAACAATCCAGATGACGTCATTTAAAGCATATCGTCCTATTTTTTTTAATGTGTTCAAGATTTAATATTTACTCTTCAATAGATCATCACCATCATTTATTAACACATCTTAAATAGCTCACCTACAACAGAGCTAGTTGCAATTGCTAGACAAAATGGTTGACGCAGAACAGTTGGCATGTGCTCAGACATCATCAATTCAATTACCGAATGAAGTTTTGTAACTTGTCCAGTAAGGTATCGACAACGGGCTTATCCTATCTTCTGGTGTATAGAGTGTACACAGTAATTAATCTAACGGGAGATATGTATCAAATTTTCTCATGTTTAATAATTATCACCTTTGCCTTTAATCGATAAATTTGAATGAAACAAATGATTTTGATAAGACTAGGGGGTGGAGGTCGCATTAGGTTTGATACACCGGATGTTATAGAATGCGTGGCATAATTCACTCAATTTTCGATGATGACAATCCATCTTATTCATACATTAACAGAGATGAATGTAAATGCTGGATACGTCAATTATGTTTGGTTTTCCAATTTATTATGCAATGTTGGTATTTCAGCCAATTTTTAAAAATTACAATTCAAACTAGAATCAGCTTTAATATATTTCCATAAAGAATGAACAATTAGTCTTAATTTTTATTAAATAGATTTTTTTCTTAAAAAAATTATTGTTTAAAATTTTGCCAATATTTATAACATACAATTTTCGGATCTATCTTGAATGATTCCCAGATGATATAAATGACAAATACTTAAGAAAATCAACCAATGTCAGAGTGGAAAAATACGGACCATAATGCGTGAACATAGCATAAACAATATATGTGCTAATATTTAAATTCCGTACATGCAATGAAAAAAAAAAGGTGGATCTAAAAATAATATTTAAAAATGCCTACATTTAATCTTAGGCATTCATCCTTCGATTACAAAATAGTCCATCGCAATGCAGCTGTGCACCGACAATAAAACAAGATATCATAGTCATAAGAGATGTAATAGTCATACAGTGTAAGAGGAAATAATTTTAACTACATACCTATTAAGTCATTCAATCCTTCACTGTTTAACCGCCATTGGCATCTCTGGCTTTGTAACAACTTCGAAGCGATCCGATGTCATAGAGAAGTAAAAGACAAAAGTTATCATGCTATATACAATACAAATCGATTTCTGGTTTTACAAGAATGCAATGCAGTGAACACAGGGATTGCAAAAAGTTTCAGTCTTTGAATTGAAAAGGCTTTAAAGTGAGAACGTATGAATAGGGAATGAGCTCTCCTATTGATATTAGAAAGAATGTAACTGGAATAACCGCATCATCTTAGCACTTTAATGAGTATCCCTTTTATATGCTTAATTACGTTCATTGATCCAGCCTTAAATTTACATGTTAACAATACATTTTATTGCTTAAGATATTTCCTGTGATGTATTTCAATTCACTAATTTGGACTTTTTAGTTTATCAAGGAAGACATTTATGTTTCTGCTATAATGCATCTATTCAGCGGTTCCGAAAGTATCGTTGCTTGGATTACCAAAGCTATTATCAATATGATTATCGTAAGTTGGCGAAGACTACTGCCCTTCCTGATATTCCTTATTTTAGCAAATAAAATATACAACATAACTACATGTATCTCTTGATTCCCTTTTAAGGGATTTTATCCTTTACAAGTAATTAATCTAGAAAAAAGATTCCGGCAATGAATCTAAAAATATTAAAACAAATATTCAAAAATTATTTTCAGTATCATATATAAATCTGTTTTAATAACGGTTAAATACATATAACCTCTTTACTGGGGATTCATGGAATCTTTTATTTTTATATTCCTTCTCCATGTATTTTCATATTGGTGTATCTGAAAAGTTGGCAGGTTATTCACACATGAATGGATGGAATCATTCAGGGACCAGTTAGCAATGTTGCAAGTGGATAACAAAAATCAAGAATCTCTAATTCGCTGGCATGAGGCATGCGATTAAATATGTTTTGTACCCTATGAAAATAAACCTATACGAAGCAGTTCTTTATAACTCGCAATGGATAGCTTGATTAATGAACGCCGAGCTCCTGATCGATTAATTGCTACAGATTCGTCCCGCAGATCAAATTAGTTCGTCTGTAAATTAGATCCTTTGGTACGAATTATTGTGGTGACGAATTAATTAAACTTACCAAGTGCATGACGTGATTTATGCTTTAATTTGGTTAGAAGAAAATGTGCCGGACGCCGAGGTACGAGATCTGAATATATTTTCGTTGCATCCTTTTAATTAAAGAAAATGTCATTTTTTACTATGCTTTTTTGTATATACAATGAAAAATATAACATAATATGATATCAAATATTGATAATTTTTTCATAGCCGAATTGAGTTTTGAAAGTGCTCCCTCAATATAGTTTTAGTTGATTAGGTATTGTCATGATTTTAAAGCGGGCAAGAAAAAGCATAAACTTTCAACTGAGGCGGTAAAATGTGAACGTGACAGTGAAAATAAGAAAGACTTGCGTCAATTGAGGAGGCCATAATATGTAATTATCTGAGCTAGCCCACATGTAATTCAATAAGCAACAAAAATTGTACTTGTTTATTTCCATTGGGTATCATTTTTGCTACTGAATTCTCAGCACGTTTCAGTTTTAGAAAGGATTGGCTATTACATCATTATGAGGTACTGCCTAGAGAATTAGACTCGGATATTATTTGTACAACTAAATATGTTTCATGTCTTTCTCATTTAAATTAACTCTTTATTTTAATACTCTGAATGTTATTTTGGCTTCAAGAGAAAATTACTTCCTTTCAATAAAGAAGCGTGCAATACGTGCTCGCGATTAAAGCAAATTATTTTAAATAGAGCGATACCTGCTTAATCTCGATTTTTGTTTTCCGTTATTTTTTAATCTTTAAAACATTTGGAGCTCGAGCAATGGGTGTTTAGCTATCCATCTTTCACATTTACTAGGGAAAAAAAACAATTTCTTTGAAAATAAGAATTTAATTTATATCTCCCCTATGGTAGACCTTTGAAAATCAGTGTGTTGGGGTTTATTTGATTACTAGGTAAAAAAATCCTTAAATCAAGTTCTAATTCGTTCCTTGAAATACTCATATGGGCATAATAATCAAAGGGCATATCAGAAGGTTAGTCATAAGTGCGATGATAATATAAGTATTGGGAATACTTAATATATTTAAAATTCTACCTTTTCAATACTTCCCGTGATATATATACTAAAGTAAAAATAATCGTAGAGAAAAACATGATCTCATTGAACACAATAATCACTAATAGTTCATAGAAATCTTATTTCAAGTAAGGACTCCAGCAAAGTCCCTGCATTATACACAGTAAGTGAATATTTTTAGAACCTTTCATTTACTGTACTTTTATCGACTATATTTTGTCGCAATTTGTTTCCTTTGCTTTATCGTGAAATGTAAAGCGATCAATCTGTCCCAATGCAACTACAAACGCTCACCGATATGACTAGCAATAATATGATTTCATCACGTTTGCCTTTGATCTTTCACATGCTTCATACACGCGTACATGACATTTCATGAGATTTATTTATTGTTCATATCAGAGTATTATTTTTACAACGTCATTTGATTATATCCCCGCATGAAAACGAAGTTAAATGAACATATTGGAACCACTGTCTGTCTTTCTGTCCGTAGATATTTTATTCGAATATTTTCTAAAAGACTAGCACATGGATACACTTTATCCTTTCAAGTCATATACTTGCTAAAGGCAAAGTGATCAGATAAACATTTTGATTATTTTTCTGTGATTTTAAGATCATGTCAAAGACGGAAATGGTTATTAGCTATTTTGTGGACATGTTTTAAAGATAACCAATGACTTTTCAGTCACATATAAAACTATGCGACAAAGATGTCGTATGACCATAGGAAGGATCCAAGTGTCAACGCTAACATTATCAATATCTGCCAGAATCTGTTGTACTGTTTTCTCATGCCATCTATTGTAAGGAATGAATCATCTAAGTAAATTTTAGTTGTGTTAAAATAACGACCTTTGGATTTTAACACTGAGTCATAAGTCATGCATGTTTCCATATCTCTCCACCTTCGTCATGCATCTCCTTAAGTTAAACGAAATACATGTTTGATAAGGAAAAGTCGAGTGACATTTTCTCTCTCTCTCTCTCTCTCTCTCTCTCTCTCATCACAAATAATAATATAAATAACATATAGATGTACATTAAGTATAATGAAAAAAGTTATATTATTGTTTAAAATATTCTTTGAGATTTGATCATTTATGTATTAACCAAAGAGAGGGAGAGAGAAAAAATGGAAATATGTTGAAACATTTTTCAGGCTGACTTTAGAGTAAGATTCAAAATTTACATAAAGAAAAAGGTGAAGAAGACAAACAGTGATCGATCTCAAAAAAATCCAGAAACAAAACAAATACGTGAAGAGGAAAGGACCTCTGGAAATTCCTGAGGGATCAGAGCCTAATAGGAGTAAGCATCCCCTGTTGATTGGTCACACCGTTAACCCTATGTATTCATCAGGTATACGGGATATTCTGTGGTCAAATGAAATATGAAGATAACGAACAGTATTCAATCTCAAAAGTCCAATGAAACGATACAAATTTGGGGCAGAGCAAACACGGACCTCAAAATTTAGAGGTGGGATCAGGTGCCATGGAGGAGTGAGCATCCCCTACCGACCGGTCACACCCGTCGTGTGCTCCTTGCCATGATAAAAAAAGGAAAAATCCGTAGACAGTTCAGTGTATAAATAATGGCCTAACAATTAGAATGAAAAACGTCAGACAGCATTTGAGTCAATGATAGGTTAATGTGCTGACAAGCTCATTGTATCGACCATAAAACTTGCGAAATAATGACTTCAAACGAGACTTTTGATATCCTTGTTTGTCAATAGCTTGCCTCATTTTAGAAATTGTTCAAAGGCAGATCATCCACTTGCGTATCGAATCAACTAAAAGACACAAACTCCATATGCAGGTGATAAGGGTATATTACTACATAAGTAAGGGAAGTTGACGATTGAAAAGTTGAAGTGGAAGTCATCACGTTTATCATAAAGCTTTGTTGTTAGATTACCATTAACGTCTTATTCTGGTAAAATATCTAAAGATGAAACAGATGTTTCAGATTCTGTGGTATCTTTTATTTCAAGCTCACTGGGATATATTTTTCCTTAAACTTCAATATACCAACAAAGGAATTGACGCGGTTAATATAAGTAATATTCTTAATCACAAAAGGGTCCAGTCTTGTATTCCACCATATTTCAAGTTAAAGACTACACCTTGTATTTCCTACAAATATACATCGACTATTGCTTCCAAACTTTCTATTACAAGAAAACTTTACAGGGCCTGGATATCGAATATCTGAAACATTATCCTCCATCGTGTTCATGTTCTTCTTCACCCTTTAACTATAGTCCTGCTGGACACGTTATTACTGGTGACGTAAATATAGTTAATAGTGAGGACCTTAGATCACTAATTTTAAAAGGTCCTAAATATAGGGAACCCCGATCCTTCAACTGGCGTCGGAATTTCATAAATATTATGGATTCTGTAGAGGATTACGCCAGACGATGGGCCAGACATGAAAAAGAAGACCTTGACAATTTATCAAAATGGATTAAATGTATCAGATGTATGTTAAAATTGCGCATTAAAAGATTGAGGGGCAATATGAGAACCATCTATCCTTATGTATTCAATAATCCAGAAGTGAAAAAAGAATTAGATAGATTACATGATCAGTACGTACTGATCCCTGTTGACAAAGCAGGTTACAACATTGTCTTTGTTTGTAAGGCTCATTATATTAAATGCATTTTAGAGGAACTTGGATTTAATTCTACAAGTGATAACGCAACTTATTCTCATAGTTCCCTTTCTAAGGAAGAAATTCTTCAAAATCATATGTCAGTTTTGAATATTTTTAACATTCCAAACAACCAAAATGAATTTGAATTACCATATCTATATTGGATTCCGAAACTTCATAAAAATCCTTACAAACAAAGATACATAGCGGGTTCCAGTAA